ATAATGGTCACAGCTATTCACATCCTCCTTTATAAGAAAAGTATACAGCCTCACCCTTTGCCATGTGACTCACCTACCTTCTATGGGAGGGGTATACAGCCTCCCATAAAACTCTGGGCCTCATCATTTGACTTACTTTAGCCAATGGAAAGTCGGTGGAAATGCCACTTCCAACTAGAAGCAGAAGAGGCATTGCATGTTTCTACCAGTCCCTTGTTCCTGGCCTGTGCCAGGAAAGAATACCATGTGTCAGGTAAGGACTGCTCCTCTAGCTTGAATCCCAGAATGAGAAGGCATGTGGAGACTCACAGTCCAGATTGAGGAAAAGGCCTGAAGCCAATCCACAGCCTGCACTCGAGTCACAGCAAGAGATAAATGTCATTGCCGTGACATACTGAAATTCGAGGTTGGTTGTTACTGCAGCAAAAGCTGATTAATGCATTCAATAACTTACTAGAAACAGAAGAAGAAGCAGCAAGCTTTGAAAAGGAGGCTGAATTGGTATGACCTCTTTTGCATAGCTACTCAGTTGTCAGAGATTCAAACTCCCCTTTGAAGACATTCCAAGCAAAACAAAGCCATCTGTGTCTGAGATTCCACATACAATATCAATGGGCTAGCGCATTGCTAAGTGATATGGTGGATGATCAAAAAATACTTGAGGTGGATTTGATCTATCAAACACTTAACAAACATAACTGGGAAGGTTAGTAATCTGAAATTCAGAAACGTTGGTTTTAAATACAATTGTATATCTGAATTTGTCAGGCACCAACATTGTATGATTTAGGAGGCATATGCACATCGTGTGCACACACACACATACACGCACGCACACACAGGGCAAGACATCTTCCTTACCTCTTTGTCATGGTCCAAATATGTCAAACATGAAAAACTGTGACCTGCCCAAGAAGTACAAATCAGAATGTGGTTGTTCTAGAAGCTGTAGCATGTGAGACACTGCTGAAGACACTGAAGATATTTAGCCTGGGAAAGATAATAATAATTATAATAATAATAATAATAATTAATAAATAAATAATAAATAAATATAATAATAATTACCTAAGAAATATATTATTAGTTGCCTTCAAAAATTTGAAGACTTTTCTCAGAAGCAGATTAGCCCTGATCTGTATAGATACAGACAGCAAAACTGGGGACAAGAGAAGAAAGTTACCAGATCTCCATTCGTTTTACTAGGGTATTCTGTTCGGGTTGGACAGACCTTGCGATTCAGACACATCTGACCTGTGTCTGGCCAACAGTGTAAATCATAGTGCATATCACTCGAGGTGCAAACACAGAGCCTTTCACTCTTACAGTCACCTCGCTTACCAGGGGACATTGATTAGAAGAATTTACTTACAATCCTAACTGTCCAGCCATGTGAAGGAACTGCTTCTGCAAGCCAGTGTTCCCTGCTGCTCCAGATGTTCCAGCAAAGGCTGGACAATCACTCATTGGAAATGTCATAAAGGGATTTCTGCAATCCCTTAGTGTGTTTGCAAAACCAGGCGGGAATGATTTTTTACTGTTTACTGTTTCGATATTCTTCGTTTTTTTCCTGTCCTCTCCTCTCCTCTAAAGGCCGGCTCCAACCTAATTCGGTAATGCTACCTCTTCCGTGAATGCCTAAGCCATTGTTATTTTCATCTTTCTCCAAACCTGCTCTTACCATCATTATACTTACAGCCCGCTGAACCCTCAAGCACCCCAGCAAACACCACAACAATGACTCTTCTCCCAGAAGCCTTGTTAGCCTTCCTTAGTTAAACCTGTGAAGTATTTTTTTTTAAGATTTTATTGGGGAATTGGGGGAGGAGAGCAGCATTGGGGAATCAGGGAAGGGGAACAGACAAGTTGCTGTCCTTTTGTTCTTCAGTCTAGTTGTGGAGGATGTCGCTTCACTGGCCCATATTGGTATTATCATTGCGCTCTTCCCGGGTAAGGCAGTCACTCACCGGCCGTTGGACGGCCACTCACGGTGGCTCACGGCAGCTAATGAATGCTCACGCCAGCTGCTGGCCAGCCCCACTGCAGCCTATGCCATCGCCATCGCCGGTGACTCACTGCAGCCCAGCTCCAGGTCGAGCTGTTGTTCACCATCTTAGCTGTAGAGGGTACAGCGTCACTGGCCCTAATGTGGGATCCAAACCAGAGCCCTGCTGCTCAGAGCTGGGGTCCCAAGCCAACTCTTAACCAACGTGCCACTCAGCTGGCCCCTGTGAAGTATTTTGAGAAACTTGAATTCAAGTGCTAGAGAAAGCACAACACACATTTATTGCTCATCTTGGAAAGCAACAGCAAGGAGCTTCCAAAACTATCTTTGATTAACATAATCTGGGGCATAATGAATATGGATATTGTCAATAGTCACTTAGAAGCATGTTTTCTTTTATACATTTTGTTCTCTCCAGTAAATTTCCAACCAAGACGGGAAATGCCCCAAGCCCCTGTTTGCATCAATAAAGCAAGCACTCAAAAGACTTACCCGGAGGGAATAGAGCCAGGAAGGAATTCTCACCACCCTCAACTTTTGTTCTAATTGATTCTCTGTGTTTTCGTCACAGTTTCTAATTGTCTATTAAATAGAAGCCATCACCTCTCTAACAAGCCTCTTTCATTTTTTCAGTGTCCTTGTGACAATTTCTGATGAAAGGCTAATCAGAACAATATCCAGACGGTGTCTCCAGACAGCACAGCATCCATAGTCACTGTCAGCAGGAGACAGCTGCTGAGAGGCCCAGCTACCTGCACAGGAAGATAATCAGTCAGGGTTCTCCAAAGAAACAGAATTAATAGGATACACGCAGATGTGTATGAGAGGGTTTATTACAGGGATTGGCTCACATGTTATGGAGGCCAAGAAGTCCTACCAATTGCTATCTGCAAGCTGGAGAACGAGGAAAACTGGTACCGTGATTCGGTCTGAGTCCATAGGCCTGAGAATCAGGAGGGACCAATGGTGTACGTTCCAGTCTGACTCCCAAAGCTCAGGAACCAGGAATACCGGTGTCCAAGAAGAGAAGAGGGATGTCTCAGCCCAAGCAGAACCAGTGAATTCACTCTTCCTGCACTTTTTTGTTCTATTCAGGCCTTCAACAGATCGGGTAATGCCCACCTATACTGATGAGGGCAATCTTCTTTACTCAGTCTACCAATTCAAACGCTAATCTCTTCCAGAGACACCCTCACAGACACACCCAGAAATAACATTTTACCAGCAGTCTGGCATCCTTAGCCCAGTCAGGTTGACCCATAAAATGATCCATCACAGGCAGCCTCTGGCTTTGCGCACCCAGCACTTCAGTCATTCCTAGTGGCAGAGGGCAGTGGACCCCAACCCTGCCTTGCTAGAATCACTTGGGGAGCTTTAACGAATCCCTACATCTAGGCCACACCTCACACCATTCTTGTTGTCAAGAATTAAAACACAGCTTGAAACAACACTGTCAAATCCAGGAAGAAATTTAAACAGTAGGGCCATCACCCAACCCCTGTGAACCAAACTTCCACATTTTACCTGATTCTTCTAATTAGGTCGTGTTTGCAAAGGCTTTAGAAGCAGACAAGTGTTACATTAGGTGCTAAGTAGTATTAATTAATAATGTTGGTAGATTACATGGGCTGGTACATATTACAAATGTAAATATCCTAGATTTATCAGCACAGGACAGTATTCAGCTGTACTTTACATTTTTCTTTATAGAATTTTGTAAAGCTTCTGGCTTCCTAGAGAGTTGCTTCATATAATCTTTGCATTTTCTAACATGACAAAACTTTTGAAATCATCTAATGCAATAGCTCTCAACTCTATCAGACTTAGCACCTCTTTTTTTATAATAAATGTTTTGTCACACTCATCTATAACGTCCTGAAGCAAAGTTCATGGATAATCTACAAGTATATAACACATTTCAGTATGTGAACACTCAGGCATGTCCAAATGAAGTTAGCCGATGCAGGCACTATAGGAAAAAATACTGCTAATGGGTCAGTTCCAAATGGCAGGCTGTTACACGCGTGCTGCATGGGAGACGCAGTACCAAGGTAGCACTGCCAGGGGGGCCTTGGTTTTCTGAAATGGTGAAGAATTCCTCTGAAGTTTCAAACTAAAGAAATTATTATCTTCCTTCAATTTATTCTAGAGTGGCATTTCTGGAAAATTCAAAGTACTTGTGTATTAAAACCATCCCCGCAAATCCCATGTGTTTATATGGAAGACAGGGTTAGGTTTGAGGTTCAGATCATCATAACCAGAATTTTCATCCACAAGATTGTCTGATGAGATATTCCCACACAGTTAGCATCCCTGGGGCCCACCCACCAATGGCCAGGACCACTAATCCCACTCCCGAATCTCTGAGAGAGAAAAAAAAAATGATCAAAAAATTTTCATTTTGTTGGAGAGCAAGGTTCCAAAACAATCTCATGGGATGGCACTTCCCCTCTTGAGAATTGTAGATCTAATTTTACAACCTTATGTGAAAAATGTGGATACTGTGTCCCCAAAGAATATGCCCAAGAATCACAGACCAAATCTTGGCCGAGTCAGGGAAGAAGTGCTTAAGAGTTTAGGCAGATGAGCACGTTCGTGTGCCAGGCATTGTCTTAAGCTCATTTCAGACATATCCTAATTTAATTTTCACATCAACAGTAGGCAGACTTTATTATCCCCATTATACAACCGAAACCAAAGTACAGAGAAGTGAAGTCACTTTCACAAGGTCCCAGAGAAGTAAGTGGCAGTGCCCTGACTCAGACCATCCTCTTCAGAACAACTATGTAACACAGTGCAAACTACAGACTGTCATTTAGGACTGGAAGGGACACAAAGGGGAAGTGCACCCGTCCAGTTCTCCCAGTGTTCTCCCAGTTCTCCCAGTGTTCTCCCAGTTCTCCCAGTGTAGCACATGGATCCCCACCCATGCCTCCAAGTCATGGTTTGTTTCCCACTTGGTCTCATTTTCTCCTTCCTTTGTTTTCTCCTGCAGACATTCATGCCCAGGAGAAAGCTTCTTTGGGTCCCTCTGGACCTTTCCTAAAAGGGAGATCCTTGTGCACTAGATGAGTCCCAGAAGCATCCACTAAAGGCTTCCATAGCCCTTTTCCATCAGTTGACCTTCACCGTAAACTCCCAGGATGAGTGGCTTCCTCGCCTCCCTGGACCCCCGGCGGGTGCAGTGGGGGGCTGCCTGGTATGCCATGCACTCCAGGATCCTGCGCACCAAACCGGTGGAGTCCATGCTGGAGGGAACAGGAGCCACCACAGCGCACGGCACCAAGCTAGCCCAGGTGCTCACCACCGTGGACCTCATCTCACTTGGTGTTGGCAGCTGCGTGGGCACCGGGATGTACGTGGTGTCCGGCCTGGTGGCCAAGGAAATGGCAGGACCTGGTGTCATTGTGTCCTTCATCATTGCAGCTGTTGCATCCATATTATCAG